AAAATATGAATAGCCAGTACTATTTCATCAACCCATTGGTTCTTATGGGCAGTAATGTCTGAATAAAATTCCATCTTCATGAAACACTGGTGGTGCCCCAAATTGGCAAGCTCTGTGGAGAAAAATTCTTACTTTCCTAATAAGTACTATAATTATTACTAAAGGTCATTTAGAAAAAAAGAACTTCAGCTTTGTTTTCATGATTTCTTTTATACATGACATTCACAGAGCAGCATGACTAAATAACTGACCTTTTAACTTTAGAATCACAAATTTTTATTATGATTTAAATATCCTTAAGTTTAGGCATATTCTTGTGTTCTTTTTCTGTAGAAAAATCTATTTCTTTAGAAATTAGCTTCAATTTCTGCTACTTAGAGAACTTTAAAGAGTTTTTGAATGTTCCTAATTTACCAGGAAAATATTTTGTTGATTAATTTTATTATTTGACAATTTAATACACATGTATAATATATTCTGATATCTTTAACTCTTCTCTGGCCCTTACCACACTCCCCTTTATCTATAGTTCGGAACACACTTCCAAGGTTCTTGATTTTCTGTTTTGTTTTGTGAGCCATTTATTTTAACAAGAATCATCTGGGTTGCCAGTGAATAAGAGTCAGGTGGGGTTATCAGTAGGTAAGAACCTGAAGGCAATGATTTACCTATTCCCGGAATCTTTAAGTAGTTCAGCAGTGAGAGGAAGGGGATTCTTCCTTCCTTCCATTTCAGAGCCATGGTATGTATGTCCTTAAAAATACCCAACCTTTTTAATGGCACTTTTGTGGAAAGTATTCAGTTTAAAACATGTGATTCCTGAGATATACAACTTAATACAGATCTCATTCCAGAGCCCCTCTTTTGTTCCTACAGAATAAAATATGTGGGATTCTATATTTTCTTTAAGATCATTATCAGAATATATGTATGGTTATTTATTTGAGATAAACAGGACTATATAGTTCCAAATCATATGCAAAAAAAATGTTGTTTACACTGAGTCTAATTATCACCAGATTTTCCTATTCTTCAATGACTTGCCTTTGGTTGAATCCCCATGTTTCCATCTGCTTCGTTTATAACATTCTGTCTTTTATATACATTCTTAGTTAAAACAAAGTATCAAATAATGGCTGAAACTCATCAGCCTGAAACCTTCAGGGTCCACAGATTATTTTAAGGTCTGAGACCTTATTACTAACTCTTCAGGCTTTGGCCCATCAGCTTGTTTCTGACACAAAGAACTGTGGACACTATTAGATCAGGGATGGATTGAGACAATGTGGGAAAGAAACTAGAACACAACTCAGAATTCAACAGAAGCAGATTGCCCTTAGAATAATTACAGGCAACAACATATTTACAGGAATGGAGGTTGTGCATCATGACACATGGGGGCTGGAAGCTTTATAAGATTTGAAGGGGGAAGTGCCTTTCATGATGAGGGTCCAATGGAAATTTTATTGGCCTTAGTGTACCCTCTACAGTTCCAGTTAGAGACCATTTCTAATTGTAGATATCCATGAGCAGGCAGGCTTCCTTTCAGATAGCATCCATCTGTTCTAGAAAATATCCTTGAGCATTATAAACTTTGGATAGTGATATCTTACTAGCATTATGTTTCATAGTGTTATGTTATCACACATTTTATTTCTGTAAATTCAGGTTCTGATGCTATAATGCCTGGGCACTCCCAGTAGTTTTGTAATATGTTGCTAGGGAAATCAGGGTCTCATCTTGGGATATTAGTCTCATTATTAAAAGAATTAGAGAGCATTCTTAAAAGGAAGCTCAAGGAGAATTTTAATCAAAGTTTAAAAGGAAAACCCCAAGGTAGCAAAAATGAATCCCATTAGCTGCCTGAAGAAGAGGAAGAAAAAAAAAAGGCTATATGAATTAAACCAGGACAGAAGTTAGTCACATGGCCAAGAAGCAGCCACACCATGGGGGATAGGGAGGAGAGTTTTAGAGAGAGTCAAGTCTGAAGTGTGAGGAAGAAAATACAATATAACCCTTTTCTGAGTAATTCAGAAAAACAGGCAGACTCAATGAAGCATCATGGCAGCTGTCCAGTAAGAGACTGCACAGAAGGCAGGAATTCAGTGAATCCACTTTCCTGATGGTTCTCCTTAGCCAGTTGATTGACTGGCTTAACTGGGTTAACCACGAAAAGATAAGCTAAAAAACAAGGAGGATCCTAAGAGAGACATACATGGACCCTGGAGAAGGGGAAAGGGTCAAGACCCGCTGAGCAAATTGGGAGCACCGGGGAGTGAGAAGGAGGTAGGAAACAGAAATCTGGAGAAAAGGAGGGGGAGGAGAACATGAGGGATCAGGAAGACTGAGTTGGGGTAAGAATAGAGGCGAGCACGAATAGAGATACTTTAATAGAGGGAACCATTATATGTTTAAAGAGAAATCTGGCACTAGGGAAATGTCCAGAAATCCATAAGGATGACCCCAACTAGAGAATATAAGCAATAGTGGAGAGGCTACCTTAAATGCCCTTCCCCTATAATGATTGATGGCTATTTTATATGCCATCCTAGAGCCTTGATCCAGCAGCTGATGGAAGTACAAGCAGACACACAGCTAACCAGTGAGCCAATCTCCTGAAATCCAGTTGTAGAGAGGCAGGAGAGATGAGCAAAGGGGTCAAGACCATGTTAGAGAAATCCAAAGTGTTATGATAAATCTTTCTGACATAAGCTGCCTGAGCCCCACTGCCACGTGTGAGCTTTATGCCAGCCACCCACCCGAGTTAGGCCCAAATGAATACACAGAAACTTGTATTAGGTTCAAAGCTGAAGCTTGGCCAATGACTAGGATTCTCATCTGTTAGCTCAGTCTTAATTATCATAAATCTATACATTTTATAAGACTTATCAGATGCCTTGTTGGCATCCTTCCTGGCCGGTGGATCACATCGTGCTGCTGGAGCAGGAGCAGAGGGGAAAAGAGGGCCCTTCTTGTTTCTCCTTCGCTTAAATATGAGTCTTCTTGCTATGTCACTTCCTGCCTGGATCAGCACTTCTCTACTACATTTCCCAGAATCCTCTTTGACTCCTAGTCCTGCCTAACTTGCTGTGTCATTGGTCAAACAGTATTTTATTTAACAATCAATAAGATAAACATACACAGAAGTACTTCCTCCATCACCCCAGAAACAGCTGACCTGACCAAGTGAGAGTACAGGGACCCCAGTTGTAAAGCTGGGGAACCATCTTTGGACCAAAACAGGACCCCTGAATGTGGCTGCCAGATAGAAGGCCTGGGAAATCTATGGGACCTCTGGCAGTGGAACCAGTATTTATCCCTAGTGCACAAATGGACTTTGGGAGTCCATTATCCATGGAAGGATACTCTCTCAGTCCAGATACATGGAGGAGGGCTTAGGCTCTCCCCCAAATGATGTGTCAGGCATTGATGAACCCCCATGGAAGGCCTCAACATCCCCTGGAGAGTGGATGGTGCATGGGATGGGGGGTTGTTGGTGAGCATGGGAGGAAGAGAGGGAGAGGGTACTGGGATTGATATGTAAAATAAGATTGTTTCTAAATTAAATAAAAAATCAAATTAAATTTAAAAAGGAGAAAATTTCATGTCTCCACCCAGAGGTGGATTATCTTCTGTTGGCTAGGAAGCCTCTATTAATGGGCCTTCAATGTCTCTGTAACATTTATTCTTCTGATGTGGCTATGCCAAAATTGTTTAGAAAATGAAATTGGATAATAGATGTAACCCATTTCTGCCATGAAAATCTAGAGCTCTAGTTCCAAATATATTCATAAGAAGAGATTAATGTAATTGGAAACTCAGTACAGCCTTGAGGCACAATGGCTCATTCAATAGGGAATAAGAAATCAGAACTCTACCCTACCATTCTTAGCCAGAGAACCAAGGAATTTTATGGAACTGTCACTTTCAAGGGTCCTGTTTTGAGATGCCTGTGCTATTTCTATTTTCTGTTTTCATCAATCCCACTTAATTTGTTCAGTTCTACAGATAAAATTCATTATAGCTGAAAACTAGGTAGCAGCAATGATCTAAAAGGTTGACAATATATATTTTTACTGAGTATTAAGCTATTCACATATAACTTTGTATTTTTGTTTTGAAGTTTTTGATACATTTCTTCCTGATTTACTGAGAAACTCTGCTTAAAAGAAATCGACATATTTCTACAAGAGAGTTAGCAACACGCACCAGGCATCACAAAGAAATCTTCCATGACTTTATATACTGTGTAAAATCATCATTAATATTAACATGCAAAGAAAATTTATTGTATAAAACCTGGTTTTCAACATTAGCATTCAACATTAAAGAAATTGTTTTTTGTGATATTACAGTTTGCTTTGAGCCAACAGGAGCATTAAAATATTGTGAACTCTCATTCCCATTCATGAGTTTTTAAAGTTTCTTTTGTTTTCCCAGGGATTATCTTACTACATTTCTATCTGCCTTTCTATCCACAAGAACTAAGCCAAAAGTGAAAGCTTAAATAAAAGGGCAGAGAAAATAAAAGTTTGTTCACAGTGCATGAGTAACTGTATTATCTGTCTTTAATGTGATCTATTAGCTTGATATATAGTTGTTTATACATTTTAAGCATCTCAAAAATCCAAAAAAGTATGAGGGCCCTCTTAATCCCTCAGACCGTCTTTTAGGTAAGAATGAATCATGAATAATATCTTGGTTGAAAGACTTGTACTGAGTGAGGGTTAACCCATTTTCACATATTGTTTTCCTTTGAAAGTGAAAGTATCCAAAAAGTAGTGTATAAAAAATTAGAAGTTGCTAATTAAACATACCAATGCAAAAGAGATTGAATGTATATCTTTCAGATAAATAATAAATCAGTGCAAAATTCAAATTATTTATTAGTGCAGCATGAAAGGCACAGTGGCAGATATATATATATATATATATATATAGAGAGAGAGAGAGAGAGAAGGCCTATACACATATAAAGAGAATTTATTAGAATGACTTACATGTTGCTCGCTGAGTAGGCCCAGAGTGACTCTCACACTGGAAAAGCTAAGAATTTGACAGTGCTTCAGTCCATGAGATTGTGGGTCTCAGCAGTCCCAGTTTAGTGTTGAAGGCCTGATGGATTCCTGGAGAATGGTTTGTCTTTAGTCTATGTTGGAATTATGAAGAAGTTGCTCCTAATAATATTGGAGAGGGAATTCCACATGAACAGGGTAGATGAACTTGCCAGGGAGAGTAAGGGGAACAAGAAAAAGGAGAAGTTTTCCTTTTCTATGTTCTCTTATCTGAGCAG